AAGACATCAATATTTACTTTTTGTGTGAAATTAGAACCACTTTGTCTATTTCAAAAATGTTTGGTCGACAATGAAAAACAGATATTGGAAATTGAAATAGACAGAAAATCAATGGGTGTAGCATATCAACTTTTGCGAAGTATTTTCTGAATTTTAAAAATGCTTTATGCATCAAAATATCACTCCAATTGTTTCCATATTAGATATTATTATTAGTGATTGTTTTTGCTTTACTGATCAGTTGATGCTTTATAAAATTAACATTGCAGGCTGTAGAGGCAGTCCGTAGCAGTTTCCTAGAAAAGGTGGCGCTAAAGACAAAGTCTGCTATTGATGTGAATACACATAGCGGTGTAATACAAGATGACGTTTCGGTTGGATATCTTTCTGTGGAACATAATGAGCGGTTGAAAAATATTGAACAGGCGCTCAAGGAACAGCAGCAGTTGCTCAAGACAATTGCTTTGCAGGTAGATTTCATACTTCATTGCTCTCTATCTTTGCTTGCGCTTTTCTGTGCATAAGTTTTCCTGATAGCTCGAATGCTCGAAGATATAGTATGTCATGGGACCATATATCAAAGTTGATGGAAGCATTACTCTGTAAATTACGTCGTTATTATTTTAAAGATTTTTGTATTGGTGCCAATATGCAAGTATAAGCATTTTACAATCAAAATATTCAAATTTTTGCCATCATAACCAAATATAAAGAAAAAGTAATTGAAAGCTTTTCCCATGAAATTTAAAAATATTTGTAAAGTTTTTTCTTGAAATAGTTTTTGGAACATTTAGAGTACGTGTAATTTGAATTCTTTATATAAAACTTTAGCTCTGCACTTAATAATTGTAATTCACATTCACTATGACTGTAGTAAGTAAAAGAAAAGAAGAGTCGTTTCTTACTATAAAATCTACCATTACAATATAAGCGCAGTTTTTACTATCACAGTTTTCAAACAGGTCTAAATTATTCTCCTTGTTACATGTCAAATGAGTTGTATGCTATCACTGAAATACATTCAGAATCATTGAAGCAATTTATTGATCTAAGTTAAACTAAACTAATATATTTTATATCTATCCTTTGCTGTCATGTTCGAATTACAACTTGAAAATTTTTATTTGTTAGACCTGGTTAAATTTGAATGCTCCTTTCATCGAGCTATCTTGTGGTTATATAACCGAAGTACTGTAATAATACTTAAAGCTAGAGAAAAGTCTTTTCTATGCTTTATGCTTTTGCGGTATTATTTCAGTAGTGGATTATTCTTTGCTGGACTTTAATCCTAGTATGGTTAGATATTACTTGAGCTGTGGCTTGTATATCACATTATTGACAGAAGAATTGTGCAAGACATTTGCTGATTGGATTCTTTCTCGGAAAAGAGTGTAAAATTTCAGCTATATATATTTATTGCAAGGCAGGCTTAGATCAGCAAAGTGAACAGTAATGAAAAAAATGTCAGTTTCAAAGAAGAAGTGGCCAGAATGCATTGACATCTTCATCATTTGCTGTTGCTGTGTTTAAGAATTCAGCTAGGAGTAAGGCTAAGGCTGGAAAGATACAGATAGCAGTGAGGAGTGGAAATGAACAGACCTTGTTGTGATTGTCAGTAAGTTTAAATTCATGCAGCAGATTAAGATTGCTAGGAAGATGATGATTTCTTGTCTTAAATAGTCTCCTCCATCCACCCACTGCCTGATACAAGTGCTTTGAATATATTTGCTAGCTGCTCATTATTGATCGGTACTTGGCCTATGCTGCACTGGTTGGTCCCATTCATATCGTTAAGAATGAGTGCGAAGTACGCTGATGCTTGGCATGGCAACTCTGACTTAGCCACTTTTTCTGCAAATATTTTCAAAAGTTTTGCTGCTTTTGTTTAGTTATGCAAAAGAACTTTCATTATTCATCTATTTCTTCAATTTTTTTGTTCATTCGTGATGCTATTCAAAGATTTGAACTGAGTATTGCAGAGAGAGTCAATTTTAAAGTCAAGACTAGCTTTAAAAATGCATAGAAATTGATCAAGTAGATTAGTTGTCAACGGGAGAATAGAATATAGTAGTAGTATCTGCTTGGCACTATAACAAGAAGGCTTTTGTGTCATTCATTCGAGAGGGGCAAGTTTTGTTCTTCGAAACGAAAATTCCCAACTTATTGATATTGCCCTTGAGAAACAGTCAAAATTAGGAATTCAGAATAAGTATGTGAGGGCTGTCATACATCTGTGAGTAATACTAGCTATCAGAAATAATCTCTAAAATTCCTGAATGCTTAGCGATATGAAACTGCAATTGTCTATCTTGCATTATTTATGTATGCAAATATTGAATTATTGATAGCATGTAAAATGTTTATTACATCATCGCGTGTTTGCAATTGCAATATTTTCTGTTACTAATAGAAGCAAATAGAAGCAAATACTACCAAGGAAAAAATGACTTAAAAATGCTCTGCTGTGAATTGAAATTTACGATTAATGAGTGCAATGATTTGGTTTGAGTTATTTTTTATCCTTTTTAAAGCAAACTTTTCTTATTTTTTCAATTTTTATCTATATTCATTGCTGAATTTGCATAACATTTATTGGTTTCATAATGCATTAAAAGATTAATTTAAGCTTTTTCTATTTTAATGCTGCAGGTAAAAAAGTGAATTTAATTTAAGCCAGGAGCAGCGTAAGCAGAGTATATGCAAGAGATGAATTGGTTTTTAGTAAGTGATAGTCTGGCTTAATGTAGAACTTGCTAAACTAGTCAGTAATTGAATGATGATGAAAAGCTTTAAGCATTCTAGATTCGTATGACAAAATTGTAAAATGCAGAAGCGACTGATAAGACGATGAAAGTTATTTGGCTTGCAGTTCATTTCAGAACCTTTTCTATCTAACTGCTGGATAGAAGTAACAAAGGCAGAGGTTCATTTGTGACATTTAAAGGAGAATTAAAGATTTGTCGCTATTGCCGTTGCTGTTTCTTTTTGCTTGTACATTTCTAGCTACTTTCATCAAGAATTTTTAACAAGAAATGGGCATTGTTGCAGTCGATACATTTTAAAGTTAAGAAAAGTTTGATTATTAATCACTGGTAGGATATTTTTGATTGATTTAATGAGAAAATTGGTTGCTACGAGATTGAGCGTGATGTTTTTTGCAGCTCTTCATGGCTAATGAGTATTTACTTCAGCATTAGTAAGCAATCTACATTGCTGTCTGTTCCATGAAGATTAACTTCCATCTTTTATTCAGTTCAGTCTGTCATCTTGAAATCAGTATTTTCTATAGAAGCCGTAGATATACACTAGTCAGAGGTCAGTGGTAACTAGATAAATAGAGTGCAATAAATATTGAATTGCTATCATCTTTTTAGCTGCAGGTAGTTGAGATCAGTTGATGATGGTTGTAGTTATATGGTATCACGTAACTGTGATGTCTGCCAATATGAAAGGCAAAGTGATTTATTTCGGTATTAAAATGAATGTTTGGCAAACAGTTCGCGTAAAAAATAAAAAATGTATTCAAAGTAAAATATCAAATTGAGAATAATTGTTGATTTTTGTATTTTGCAAATTTTTCTTCTTGAGCTTTACTGGGAATAAAGCCGGAGAAGAATTTTTGAGCAAATAAATGAAATACAAAATTTTCCTTCTCTTCTTAACAACCAATAGATAAAATAGGGGTGGTTGTGGAATAGAACTTACTTCTTACATGCCTTAGCTAAGAAGTGGATGGATGAATGAGTAGTTAGTTGAATGAATAAACGAATGGATGAATGAATGAATGAATGAATGAACGAATAAATAAACGAATAAATAGCT